TCGTCCTGAGCCTAGGCAAAGAGAATTCCTCCCCTTATACATCTTTCAACATTTTCCTCAGATTTTACATACAAATTCTTCGACAGTAACATAAAACAGTCTACAATGACTTCTCACGAGTTCTTTCACAAATCATCAATCAGCCATCCTCCACCTTGATGCCATAATATAGCATATGGAACAGAGAAAAGTTCGTTAAATAAACCAAGAAACAACCACTGAGAGCAAGAATTCTAGCGTAGAATATGGACGAACGAGAATGAGTATGGCAAACTGGATAGTTGTTCCCCTTTAAAATAATGAACAGATAAACATTTTTTAAAGGTAGCACTTACACCCCTCTATCTCTCACGATGATTCAGGGTGCGCGTCGGTATCATCACGATACAGGGGCATGATGGAATTCAAGTTGCACAACCAATAGGAGAGTTGCGAATTTCAGAAATGAAACGGCAAAGTTTTCTCTTTTTTTATAATGACAGAAGAATTGTCGCTGGAAAAATTCGACAAGAATTTTCTTCTATCTCTCATTATTTTTCTGGAGAATAATGAACGTACTTTCATCCATTTACCCTATTATACCTGTTTTGTAAAGAAATACAGGCCTTCATTATGAAGTGCGTATGTCTGTCGCTCTTTGTAGCTTCTGAATCGATAGGCACTTTTACTGAAACTTCATACAAACGTCATATCAATGTAAAACACTCCACATTCGGATCTTACAATCACCTAACATCAATAACACAACACTGCAGCCACACGAAATTCTGAGGTGGGAATAAAGTTAAACCCACCTAATATAGGCCCATAGTCCTAAAATATCTTCTCGTGCCAACAGACCGAAAAAATGTAGCTTTCGTATAGGTAATTTTTGTGATATTTCAGGTTCTGACGGCAGCAAGTAGGGAGATAACTGTCTTGTGGTTGTTGCGCTGTGTAGTCTGTAAAGGTTTACCGACTTGTCACAGGTACCTGCTACTTCCACCATCAGTGCGATCAGTATGCCGGGCGAGGAATCGGTTTGAGACATAAAGGAACATTCCACACTTTCTTCATTTAATCACCATAAAATATACAAACAGTAACTGCCTCCTCAGCTCTTAGGGTTACAAATTATGAATCTCTTCATTATACAGTTTGTTACAGTCCTATTTTATTCAATCTCCATTAGGCCTAAATTCTGTTCTATGTATTTTGCACCCAAAAGTCAATATGTGTTTTACCTTTATGTGAGGGACCTAGTTTCACACCTAGACAGAGGAAAAGATTAAGTTATAGTTAAGTTTTGCTTTCAAGTACGATATCGAAGATAAATTATACTAAACTGAGCCTTAGCAAGCATCTCCTGCATTTTATATACTCTTAAATTCATTATAAATATAAATTCAATTTCTTGTTTATGTCGTTGCAAGACTCTATGTCACGTTTTCAGAAGAAGAAAAAAGATTATACAACTTCATATGATGATTTTCTCTGTCCAGAGTACTACATAGTAAACAATGACGACCTTCTGTGACACTGAGACTTGATCAGTCTCATCGCCCTGATGATGGAGGCAGAAAGCAAATCTGAAACGTCACTCAACTTCTTTGAGCTACAATATCCCAGAAAGCTGTCATCTTCAAACTCGCCGCTCTGAGAACCTGAAATATGCTACACTCAAGGACAATAACATTAATAGAAGTAGTTCTGTGCTGAAGAAAACCATCTTACGCTTGGGCTGAAGACGCCGAGAGCTGCAAGTGTAACCGTGCAACCGGCAGCCGTGATCAGCAGAGAATTCAGGAACAGGGAGTGCTTCAAGCGGTCGCAATACCGTCGGTACAGGTCCTCCAACTCCATGATGCCGGCGGACGGCCTGCAATAAAAACAAGAACTTTTAAGCTGGATGGCTTGCAAGCAGTGTGACTTGCAGGAACATAATTATATTACAAACTGTCATGTGCCAAAACTGAAAACGAGTCTGTATTATTGAACTGAAGTGGAAAACAACATTCCTATACGATATCAGACCGCCTCTGTGTACAAATCTAAACATACGGAGTCTTCCCCATGTCAAGGGAGTCAAAGATCAACGAAGTTACCATACTGCGGAAAATAGTTTTTTGTGCAGGAGCTATAGAAACAAACGCTATCTTGAAATTTCAGTATTTCATCAATTGTTTTTACGACAAACTTGTTTAAATACCTAGCAGCTCTGGAAAAGTCTCAACCGATTTTATAAAGAAATAATGACTGACTTCCATGAAACTTTGTACAAAGGTCACATAATTCGAGAGAAATCCGACATCATATTTGCTAACCCTCCCTCGTTATCGATAAAAATCGATTCTGTAATAAATAATGAAATTATTTAGCGTGGGTAATACTGGAAGATGAGTAGTAAACCCCACTAAAATCATAGACGTGATAATATATGTTCTGGCTGAGTTTGGAACCGGGTACCTGGGTACCTGCATATACAAGTCGGAAGCTTTATAGCTCCCACAATTCTCTCGGCAATTCCAAGTACATTCTCTTTTTTATTCTTATACGAGTATTTACACCGCTTATACAAACACACACGTTCAAAGAATACATTAGTTCGATATTAGTGATGCCTGCATTGAATATAGACAGAGATTTTATCAACTCAGGTACATAGGCATGTGTCAGCCCATGAAATGTGGCCCCAGGCTGCTGAGTAATATAATGATCCAAACACACACACATATACACTGCGCATACCAGAAAGTAAACATAGTTTTATTAGTACAAAGCGAATGTATTCACTTGTGTTGTGAATTGAACTATTTCGCTTGCTAATTGGATGTTTGCTTGAACTGCTAGAAAAATCTGAACAAGCGCCATCATTAGTAATCTTCCGTTTACTTGTTCAGCCCAGCTCTTCGCTTTCTCTAAGAGATACTGAATGTCTTACTCTCGTTTAGATGAAGGTAAAACATTCTATCAGAACATAACATTATGACGTAGTACTGAATAACGTTTGCTCTTTTCCTACAAACTTCTTGATTTACGAATATTCATGCATTGTACGTTATTTAACGAAGCAGTTTCATTACAGCCTGTTTCAAGGCATTATCCCGGTACTTAAATGTAAGAAATAAAGATAACCAGAAAAACCTCAATCAGGAAAATTCATGTCCGAGATGAGATTCGAACCGAGTACCTCCCGAATATAAGTCAGCCATAGCCTACATAAAGAGGAATCAATTCACAGACAAATTCTTTGAAAATTTATACGTTAAACTAATATGAAATATTATAAATTACAATCGCTCTACAAAGCGGCGTGACTGTGAAGCAGTTTTTGATATCAACAAGTTTTAATTTAATTCAGCCTTTTATTCGGCAGATGGTAGGGCAAATCGGAGAGTAAAACAGTATTATCAGGGACGAGGTTTACCGGATGACATGTCTTATTACTGAAAATTTTCGGATTCTTTTTCTTGAAATTTGATCACTTATACTCCTTTATACTGGAACCGGCGAACCATAAGGGCGCGAGATGGACACAAGCTGGCTAAGGATCGTATCCCAAGGCAGAATATTGTATCAATGGGTATGAATCTTCCGGTAGCAGAATACTATCAGAGAGTTTATTATTTATATGTGTTTCATCTTAAAAAATTAGCCTTACAATTTTGTTCTCAATGAGAAATGTGCGTTGAATACCCAATAAATGGTGCACTGCGAAACAAGACATGTACTCAAAAAAGATGCATTGCACCAATCAATTTAAATGTTCTGCATTATCGTAATTTGCGGAAAGCTCAAGGTAATAAGTTGTAACTTCTCATGGCGGTGGGTACGAAGATGGCTGTATTCTTGTTTCCAGCCCGTATAGTGTGCTAGAAGTTTAACGACGTTTCTGAGATTCTTACTGTCCCCATCAGCAGGATGACGTGTCGCCCTGATGATGAAGGCAGCAAAAACCTTTGAAACGTCAGTACCAGATTACTACTACTACCACTCAGCAGACCACAATCTTTAAAAAACGCCTATATCCTGCATACAAATCGAAGCGTTTGAAGGCAAACAGGCGTCGAAGGGTTTGAAGTAGTCGTTAATGGGTCTAAGTTATTTCACAAATGTGTTCTGGAAGAAAACGTGCATGGGCTGATAAATTCACATTGGTTCTCTTGCCGTCATGTCCAAATGCACACTCCACATCAAACGCAATGAACTGTAAACATACAACAGACATCAAAATATTGACAGCTTTCATGCTACGCTGTGTGAGGATGCAAAGTTATCCATACAAATATGTAAACTCAGTTCTTCATTAAATGCACGGAATTTTCTTGATGGCAGGACGGACATAGGGAAACAAAGGTCGACACCGGCTGTTCAATCTCTCTTCAAGTATTAAGTATAAAAATAGAACTTGTTAACAAATCAACGTGATGTATAGTAATTTACTTCATTTTCCAGTTAATCACATGCTGTAAGCAAACATGCAACTTAATTCATGTTTAAATTAATTTTCATTATAGTTTGAGATTTTATCGACTCCGCTTAGTGGGTAGCTGGCAGCCCATTACGTAATTTATCGTTCTTCTTAGAAAGTACGGACACGAATGCCCGAACCGGCATGGAGTTTGCATCCAATTCCACTTTTCGTTACATCCACAGATGAATTGCATTAACTAACAAGAAACATCGACGAAATTTTGAGCCTATGTACTAAGGAAGAAAACTGATAAATGGATTATTATATTAGCATGACCTCTAGATAGGAGTCCAGTGGAGCAGGCCTACTCGTATTTTCAAAATACATTTATTAGGACGTCTGTATCGCACTGCAGACAAGTTTATTTTTGCGGAGCTATCACATTACAAGTCTACATATGGCAAGCCGTTTCTAAGGAAGCTAGCACGTTTAATTTTGACTGTGTATAAAATAAGGTTTTTGTTTGATAAAGTAGAATGGAATATCTTCCTTTAAAAACGCATTTTTATTGAAGAATATTATAAAGAAACATATACAATTAAAATACTTATCTTTAATTAATTGAGAAAAGTGCGAAGCGTTAGTACGTAGGCATCTGTTTTTCTGCTTCATATATAAACATATGTACATAGCAGGCCATGGATGAGTGACAACAGTATTAAATATTATATCATAAAGCTCAGTAGCAAAAGACCACCAACCAACAAACCAAGCTACCAAAACTTGCTTGTTATATAGATGTCTTACGAAACGGAATTACATTCAAATCTAAAACTTCTTGACGATGGTGAAAAGTCAATTGAATACAAATTTACTTGGATATTATCCATCATCTAGGGACTTTCACTTTTTACTTTGTCCGGAGATAGGGATTAGCTCTATCTAGTGGGCCCAACTGTGTAGGAACCTGAAGACGGAGATAGAGTCCCATCTCCGAAACGTCGTTTTACGTTTTATATTTACTAGACGATGGATAATATCCAAGTAAATTTTTATTCAATTGGAATTACATTCACTCGATAACTTTTAGTGCAGACCCTCAATTCCCTACGTAGTAATTTAGGAGGCGAAAAGTTTGGGTTTGTCACGCAGACTCATTTCTTTTATGAACCTAGTGCAAAGATCTAATAGGCTATAAAAGCTGACTACCCGCTCGTGGAGTGTGTGCAAGAGTAATATCTCGGGCCACAATAATGAATATTTAGTTATGTTGTATGTCTGCCTCATTTGTTTATTTACACGTGTCCATCCGATATAAAACACGACGATACTGATGTGCAGCCCTGTGTTACAGCAATGCATATAAACACGGCTGACGCACCCTAAAGCCCAAACATTTTCAGAGCGCAGGCAAAAAGATGAAACATAACCAGTCAGACTATTTTATGGACCAGCTAATTGACCGCAGTGTTGCTGTAGTGGACAAATGACCGCTCACCTGTTTACAAATGCTAGGCGTCGTTCTATCGTACTTTTTTACTGAGCTACGGAAAGTATTTTAACAAGGACTCAAACCCAGGAAAGGGTATCGTGATTGCTTCCTTTGTTATTCTAATTTACCTGCTGAAACAAACCAAAAAATCCCTGACCCTCGCACTGTTCTTCTATTGTGTTTGTTTCCGAGATAAATAAACTGTCTTGACCGGGACTCGAACCTGGACAAATTTTTAGGGGTTGTGCCCCTGTTCCCGTAGTTTTCCTCGCCGAAACAAACACTTTGGTCTTGACTCCGTTCTTACATCGCGTTTGGTTTCCGACCTAAAGAAACCATGACAATTATTAGTCAGACGTAACACTTACGGACGGTCCTGTGGTCAGTAATGCAAACCAGAAGGCCAAGAATTCTTTAATAGTGTTACCACGGCAACTATGTAAGCGCACACGTGGCGGACATCGGCCATTATTTATTAGGATGCCGCTGCGTTTTCAGCTGCCCCAGAAACTTGGTACAGCCCACCCCTCAAAATATCTGCCACACTGCTGTTAGTTGGACTGGACACAGAATGTTGAGAGCGTCTTTTTTTCCTTCTAGTAAGTTCACAAGCAAAATCACCCGATTCGTTTGTTCTTTGCTCATACTTGCTGTATAAGCAATTCTTGGTAATTTCTTGACTTAATCATCAAGACAATTAAATTAAATGTATGTATTAAAGTCCTCGAAGATTCCAAGAAACATAGCACTGAACAGGGGACAAGATGTGAAAACATACACACATATATCACTAATGAATGACAATATAATACAATCCTTATGTGCAAATGTACGTAGAAAGCAAGATTTAAATTGCCTAGACACCAAAACTAGGTCCGTAGGATACAGTCATTCTGGAGAATCTAACGCTTGTTCAGGTGGACAAGTAGTCACCCCCCACTCCCTTATGGAACCAGATCGTCCA